AACAGAGGGCAGCAAGGGGGAAGGAGAGCACCCCTCAAAGATGGGGGTGCGAGGGTCACCACGAGAGGCACCTACAGCGACTATGCTCTTCTCCGCTGCGAGGAGGGCCTTCTCGAGGAGGTCGACGGTGAGAGTGGTGGGACAGACTGCGAGAAAGTGGTCCCTGACTACGCGGAGGGAGTCAGGGAGGCGCGCGACTACGTAGTAGAGAGTGATGTACATGGGGGGGGGGTTCTTAGCGCAGAACTCAGCAGGAAGGGCGGCGCGGTAGCGAGTGTCACTAGTGCGGAGGTGCGTAATGAGGTCAGTGACAGTGGGAAAGACAGAGAGGTCAGGAAAGAGGTAGGGAAGCATGAGACGGCTCAGTGCAGCAGTGGCAGGGGAGGAGTAGCGCGCAACTACAGCGTCGTACAAGGTCTGAGCACTCTTGTACTGACTAAAGTGCGCACGCTCAGAGGTAGGGAGGTGGCGACGCACAGCAAGACGTGCAGCAGCATCGCGGGTGGCCCACTGGGAGCGGACAGTGGGATCAGCATCGGCAGCAGGAGCAGGAGAGGCGCCAGAGGTGAGGTCAAAGAGAGAAAGGCTGTCAGCTCTGTCGCACTGTAAGAAAAGCTGCAGGTCGTCTAGCCAGACCTCAAAATCAATGGCTCGACCCTCGGCGTCAAAGGCTAGGACACTAGGGGTGGCCATGATGACGACAGCGAAGCAGTGCAAGCAGTAGGGAAAGAGGGCGCAGTGACAGAGGGACTGTGCTCACCAGGCAGGGCAAGTCGTGCAGCTCAGCAGAAAGGCGGATCGACTCCCGGGCAGCTCGGCAGCTGTGGGGCGGCTCGGGTGCTGCTGGGCGGCTCGGCCGCTGCTGGGCGGTCTGGCTGCTGCTGGGCGGCTCGGCTGCTGCTGGGCGGCTCGGCTGCGGCTGGGCGGTCCGGCTGCTGCTGGGCGGCTCGGCTGCTGCTGGGCGGTCCGGCTGCTGCTGGGCGGCTCGGCTGCTGCTGGGCGGCTCGGCTGCTGCTGGGCGGGCCGGCTGCAGTGCAGCGGCGGGGCCTGGACAGAGGCCGGCGGGGCCGGGACAGGTGCAGTGGCGGGCCGGGAAAGGTGCAGCGGCGGGCCGGGACAGGTGCAGCGGTGGGCCGGGACAGGTGCAGTGGCGGGCCGGGACAGGGGACGGCGGGGCCGGGTGTGCAGTGGCGGGGCCGTCAGGGTGCAGCGGCGGGCCGTCAGCAGGTACAGCGGCGGGCCGTCAGGGTGCAGCGGCGGGCCGTCAAAAGGTGCAGCGGCGGGCCGTCAGCAGGTACAGCGGCGGGCCGTCAGGGTGCAGCGGCGGGCCGTCAAAAGGTGCAGCGGCGGGCCGTCAAAAAGGTGCAGCGGCAGGCCGTCAGAGCTCAGCGGCGGGCCGGGAAGGTGCAGCGGCGAGGCCGGGAGAGGGGACGGCGGGGCCGTGACAGGAAACGGCGGGGCCGGCAGAATGCAGCGGCGGGCCGTAAAAAAAGGGACGGCGGGGCCGTCAAAAACGGGGCCCGCGGCCGCGACGAAGCGGCCGCGTGGCCGATTCGAGGGCGGCGGGGCACAGCCGGGCCGAGAGGGCGGCGCGGCGCGGCCGTAAAGTCCGCGCGACGTGGGCCCGAGCCGCGCGCGCTAAAAAAAAATTTTCGCGCGCTACTCGCGGGGGGCCCACAAAGGCAGCGGGAAATGCACTAAGGGGGGAGGGGGGGGAGCGCGCCTCGGGGAGAGTAGGGCGCTCCGGGCAGAGAGAATATCGTGGGTGGGCCCAAAAAAATCGGTCCTTAAGAGGGACCCGCTCTATACCATGTGAAGATAGGTAAGCAGGAATGAAATGAACTATGAAAGAAAGTGGTACAAATATGAAACCCTAACTGGGTTGTACCCCCTATGGGATACCCCACTACAGCCTACACAGCAGTATAAGCTATAGATATGTTCTGACAACAACCCCCCCCCCCCCCCCCCCCCCCTCCCCCTTCAAGAAGCCCCCTCCGCTACGCGAGTGCGTGTGTATCACGGAAAAATCCCGGCTCCTCAGGTACACTTGCAGGGCAGGGTGGTTTTTGATGTTGGCCAGGGGCACCCAGCTATCTTCAGTTGGCGTCGGATCCTTCCAGCGAACGAGGAATTCAATCCTCTTGATTCCCGTGGGGTGTCGAATCCGATGGCTCAGGATTTTTTCGGGCTTGATGATCGGCTCCGATGCAGGGCGAATCATGGATGGCGGGTGGTGACGAGGCAGTTGGCTTGTGGTTGGGATGTATGGGCGAAGTAGGCTGACTTGGAACGAAGGGCTGATGTACCAGTTCGTTGGCAACAGTAGGTCAGCTGTCACTGGGGTAATCATATGGTTGATTTGGAATGGTCCATAGTAGCGGGGTCGCAAATTCGATACGACGGGCAGTCTTAAATTTTGTGTATCGAGCAGTACGTAATCTCCTGACTGGTACGTGACTGGGCGGTGGTGGCGGTCAGCGCTGCGCTTAGCGATGACATTGGCCTTTTTAATTGCTTTTGCGGCTCTGGTGCGGGCAGCTTGTAGAATCTCGGCAAATTGCTGTGCACGTGGTATTGGGTTGTCCGTGTCAAAGTTATTTTATGTAACTGCTTGTGGTTTAGGTGTAGTGTATTTATCTTGTCTTCTGTTTGGTGGTGCACCTCTAGTTTCTTGACTATATGTTGTATCTCTTTGCTATTATTGAACCATCCTTCAACTCGAACTCAACTTCTCCTACCTCACTAGTGTCAGAGTTTATATTTGTAACTGCTTGTAGCTGTAGTTAGTGTAGTTATTACAAACTGTGTTAGGTGGTGCACCTTTGTTCACTTGCATATATGTGATTGCAAACCTATAGTGAACTCATCATTCTTCCCGAAATTCTCTCGACACCCTTGGAACGAACCACTCGATCTAGTTGGCCTAGGCTACTAAGCCTAGGCCGTCCTACTTATCACCTACCTATCAAGCTTCTATTCCGACATGCTATCAGAGCTAGTTTCGTCCTGGCCTGTGGGCCCGCCGTATGCTTCCGCTGCAGTTCTTTTCCGGTCGCGCGCCTAGGTCGCGTTTCGATTTACATTATATGTCCCGCCCTCGGATGGCGAGTGACATCCACCCTACCCGTCGTGCGCCCCGTGGCGTGCGACGGGGAACTAAACTACCTGCCTACCTGCAATGCCCGTCGCGCGCCCCGTGGCGCACGACGGTGCCCTGCCCGTCGTGCGCCCCGTGGCACGCGACGGTGCCCACCCCGTCGTGCGCCCCGTGGCACGCGACGGTGCCCAGCCCGTCGTGCGCCCCGTGGCGTGCGACGGTGCACTACCTGCCTACCTACCTGAGCCGCCGCGTACCCGCCCCTGGCGCACTCGGCGGTGTCTCGCTAGCGCCTGCACTTGACGTAGCCGCCCCTGCACCACCTCGCTCCTGCACTCGGTGCAGCCGCCACTACCTCACCCCGCACCTACACTCCCTGAAGCCGCCCCTGACCTACCCGCGCCAACCATCAGTAGCCGCTCTGCGGCTTTCTCCCCGCCCACCCCCTCCTCCTTCGTTTCCCTGCAGTCGTGGGGGGGAGGCTATGGGGGTGGCGGGTGTTGGGGTGACGGGTGGTATGCTTCCCTTCCCCTCCTCCTCCTTTCTTTCCCACTGCTGCAGCTGCCGCTGGGGGGAGGGTGTGAGGGTGTGGGGGAGCTGGGGGAGTGGCACTAGGGTTGCGGGTGTGAGACCATCTTCCCTTCCCCTCCTCCTCCTTTCTTTCCCGCTGCTGCAGTTGCCGCTGGGGGGAGGGTGTGAGTGTGTGGGGGAGCTGGGGGAGTGGCACTGGGGTGGCGGGTGTGAGACCGTCCAGCAGCCGTCCCTCCACCTCTCCTCTCTTCCCCCCTCTGCTGCTTCTGCAGCAGTGTGGGGGGGAGGGGGAGGGTGAGGAGATAGCAGGAATTCTTGCTGTACCTTTGCTGCTGTACTACCTACCTACCTACCTGCTGCTGCTGCTATTTGTGTACCCCTGCAGGTTGTGTTCTGCACAAACTCCTGCTGCAGGCAGTTATGGGGGAGTGTCAGAGTTTATATTTGTAACTGCCTGTAGCTGTAGTTAGTGTAGTTATTACAAACTGTGTTAGGTGGTGCACCTTTGTTCACTTGCATATATGTGATTGCAAACCTATAGTGAACTCATCATTCTTCCCGAAATTCTCTCGCCACCCTTGGAACGAACCACTCGATCTAGTTGGCCTAGGCTACTAAGCCTAGGCCGTCCTACTTATCACCTACCTATCAAGCTTCTATTCCGACAACTAGCCATGGCTCCTAAGCCTTGCTAAGAATTTTGACAGTCCGGCGTCGGCTTCATGGGCACTGTAGGGTTTTGCCCGTAGTTCAGGTGGAAAGGGGACTGCTGCGTCGTCGCTGATGTGGCATTGTTATACGCGAACTCGATCAGCGGCAGCTGCTGCTCCCAAGTGGTCGGGTCGTCGCACGTGGCACGAATCAATTGCTCCATCGTCTGATTCGTCCGCTCCGTTTGACCGTCGGTCTCGAGGTGGTACGACGAGCTGAACTGTAGCCTTGTCCCGAACTGCTTCCAGAGGTTTTTCCAGAAGTTGTTGGTGAACTTCGTGTCGCGGTCGCTGATTATTGCGGCTGGTATCCCGTGCAGTCGAACGACGGCTGCGATGAACAGGCGAGCGGTTTCTTCGGCTGAGATCGATTTCTTGCACGCAGTGAAGTGTGCCATCTTTGTCAACCTCTCAACGACGACCATAACCGCGTCGCTACCCCCAGGGTTCGAAGGTAACCCCATGACGAAATCCATGGTAACCTGCTGCAAGGCGCACTCAGGCGGTGGAATCGGCTGCTATTGACCCGCCTTTCTTTTTCGTGAGCTCTTCATCACCTGACACGTAGGACACGAACCCACGTGGTGCTGTACGTTAGTCAACAGCTCCGGCCAGTAGTAATACCGTTGTAGTTGCTATCGCGTTTTTTCTACCCCGAAATGTCCCGAGGTAATCCCGTCGTATGCCTCATGCAGTAACAGTCCCTCAGTAGTGAGTACGCGGGTACCCCGATGCGGTTTGTGCCTGTTTTTACGTAATAGACTCCTCTGGCCTCTGCCAGTTGCTGTAAGTTTCTGGTCGTGAAAAATGGGTCGGTACTGTATCCATGGGTGAATAGGCCTATTAATAGTAGGTTGGTTTGGGCGAGTAGGATGGCATGGAGTTGGTGTCAGAATATTATTCTTATGTTCTAGCCTGTAGTGGGGTGCTCTATAGCGAGTACAACCCTTCTAGGGTTTGCTATTTGTATCCCCATTTCTGCTAGTTCATTCCTTTTTTCTTCCTTCTAATTTTGTCATGGTATCAGAGCAGGTCGATCCCCTTGGATCGATCCTGTGGGTGGGTTTCCACCTCGCTTCCGCTGCTACCTTTCCTTCCCGCCGTGCGCCCCGAGGCGCGCGGCGGTTTTCCTTCCCGCCGTGCGCCCCGAGGCGCGCGGCGGTTTTCTTCCCGCCGTGCGCCCCGAGGCGCGCGGCGGTTTTCTGCCCGCCGTGCGCCCCGAGGCGCGCGGCGGTTCATTGCCCGCTGTGCGCCCCGAGGCGCGCGGCGGGCTTCTCCCCTACGTCGCGGCCCCGCCTCGATCGTCGCGGCCCCGCCCCTCGACGCGGCCCCGCTCTACGTCGCGGCCCCGCCCTGGCCCGTCGCCGCCCGTGCGCCTGCCCGGCTCGGCCCCGCCCTTCGTCGCGGCCCCGCCCCGGCCCGTCGCCGCCCGTGCGCCTGCCCGGCTCGGCCCCGCCCTACGTCGCGGCCCCGCCCCGCTCGTCGCGGCCCCGCCCCTTGTCGCGGCCCCGCCCTCCAACCAGGCCCGTTGTGGGCCCCTTTCACCACACCGCCTCCCCCCCCCCCCCCCCCCCCCCCCCTGCCATTTCCCGTCGTCCGTAGTGAGTCTGCTTCCTCAGGTGCGGGTGAGGCTGCGCTCTCAGGTACCGCGTTGGCTTCGGCCTCCCTCACCTTTACACTTGACTCTGGGGCTTCTCGCTCCTTCTTTCGGGACCGCACCACACTCACGCCGCTTGGTCGGCCGGTTGTTGTCTCCCTGGCTGACCCCTCTGGGGGTCCTGTCCTCGCTCACTTCTCCACTGTCCTCCCGTGTCCGGCTGCCCCCTCGGGCACCCTGTCTGGCCTGTACCTCCCCTCGTTCTCGACGAACTTGGTGAGTGGTGCAGACCTACAGGATGCGGGGGTTCACCAGTTCACTCCTGCGAGTCAGCGGGTGACCCACTGCACGGACGCACGCACAGGCCGGCACCTGGCCACGTTCTCGCGTCGGCCGGGGTCGAGCCTCTACACCCTGACCACTGAGTCTCCTCCTGTCCCCGCGTCCGGTCAGGTAGCAGCGTCGGGTCAGGTGTTTGCTGCTGCGTCCAGGTCTGGTCCTGAGTCTGCCCCCTGTTCGTGTCGCCTCCTGTCTCACGAGACTCTTCTGTGGCACCACCGTCTAGGCCACCCCTCCTTGCCCCGTCTTCGGGGCATGGCTTCCCGTGTCCTTGTCTCTGGTCTTCCCCAGTCTCTCCCTCCCCTTCCTTCGGGACCAGGACCTTCCTGTGTCCCCTGTGTCGAGGGGCGCCTCAGGGCTGCTCCTCACTCCTCTCAGTTTCCCCCGACAGAGGCTCCTCTGCAGACGCTTCACATGGACGTGTGGGGCCCGGCCCCCGTCCGTGGGCAGGGTCACGAGCGCTACTTCCTGTTGGTGGTTGACGACTACTCGCGTTACACCTCAGTCTTCCCCTTGCGCAGCAAGGGTGCTGTCACTGAGGTGCTGATCGACTGGATCCGCGAGGCTCGTCTCCAGCTCAGGAGGAGCTTCGGCTCGGACTTTCCTGTTCTGCGTCTGCACTCTGACCGAGGTGGGGAGTTCTCCTCTCGCCTTCTGCGAGACTACTGTCGTGCACAGGGGATCCGCCAGACCTTTACGCTTCCGGACTCTCCACAGCAAAATGGGATTGCTGAGCGCCGCATTGGCATGGTCATGGATGTCGCTCGTACGTCCATGATGCATGCGGCTGCCCCCCATTTTCTGTGGCCGTTTGCGGTTCGGTACGCGGCGCATCAGCTCAACCTTCACCCCAGGGTCTCTCGGCCCGCGATGTCCCCAGTGTTACTGTGGACGGGGAAGGTTGGCGATGCGTCTGCGTTCCGTGTCTGGGGATCTCGGGCGTTTGTCCGCGACTTGTCTGCGGACAAGCTGTCCCCCCGTGCTGCTCCCTGTGTCTTCCTTGGCTTCCCCCTTGACGCTCCAGGGTGGCAGTTTTACCACCCCACCTCTCGTCGTGTTCTGTCCTCCCAGGACGTCACGTTCGACGAGTCAGTCCCCTTCTACCGCCTCTTCCCCTACCGTACTCCTTCCCTCCCCCCCCCACCGGACTTCCTGGTGCCAGTTCCCCCCCCGGTAGACCCCCTCCCCCCTCAGGTTCCTGCCCCTTCAGGTGTGTCCCAGGTAGACACAGTCGAGCCAGTCGAGGTTGCTGCTGAGTCTGGTCCTGCTGCGGGTGCAGAGTCTGGGGGTGCTACGCCTGCGGGCGCTGAGCTTGGGGGTGCTGCTGCTGGGGGTGCTGAGCCTGGGGGTGCGAGGCCGGGGGGTGCTGAGCTTGGGGGTGTTGCTGCTGGGGGTGCTGAGCCGGGGGGTGCTACGTCAGGAGCTGCTGAGCCTGGGGGTGCTGAGCCTGGAGGTGCGGAGCCTGCGACTGCTGGGCGGGAGCCGCTCTCTCCACAGGAGCTGCGCGAGTGGTTTGCTCGCCGCTGGAGGCGTGCTGCTGGAGCTGGAGCTTCTTCGCTTGCTGAGGGTGCTGCCGGTCCCGGAGCTGCTGGGCCTGCGAGTCCTACTGGAGCTGGAGCTACTGAGTCTGGGGGTGCTGAGTCTGGAGCTGCTGAGCCTGGAGGTGCTGAGTCTGGAGCTGCTGAGCCTGGGGGTGCTACGTCTGGAGCTGCTGTGCCTGGGGGTGCTGAGTCTGGAGCTGCTGAGCCTGGGGTTTCTCCTGCTGCTGCGTCTCGCCGGGAGCCCCTCTCTCCACAGGAGCTGCGCGAGTGGTTTGCTCGCCGTTGGAGGAGTGCTGCTGGAGCTGGAGCTTCGTCGACCGTCGAGGGTGCTGGTGCTGCCGGTCCCGGAGCTGCTGGGCCTGCGGGTCCTACTGGAGCTGGAGCTGCTGAGGGTGTTGGTGCTGAGACTACTGCTGTCTGTCCTGGCGGTGGTTCTGCTGCTGGTGCTGCTGGAGGTCCTGCCGCTGGAGGTGTTGGTGGCGCTGGTGCTGTCGCTGAGGGTGCTGGTGCTGTCCCTGCTGAGTCTGGAGCTGCCGCGCGGCCTCGGCCGTACTTCGTTCCGCTCCTACAGCAGGTTCTTGGTCTTTCTCCTTCGGTAGAGTGTCCACAGCCTGTCCAGTCGCAGTCACTGTTCGAGCCTTCCTCTCCTCTGCCTGCTCCCTCTCCTTACACTGGTCCTATTGGAGGTCTTGCTGAGCGTCGTGAGCCTGCGTCTCGTCCCGCGTCGCCGGTTCGTGCTGCTCGCGCTAGTGGTCGCGGTTCGCGTCAGCGTCCTCCTCCTGTCCCTGGCACGCACCGGATGTCTCTGCGTCCGTCCACTGCTCCTCTGCGTGCCCCTTTGCCTTCTCCTCCTGAATCCTCTCTTCCTGCGCTTGCCGACCCTGAGTCGGACTCTCTTCGCGCTGCCAGTCCTACTGTCACGCGTCTGCTTGCTACTGTCGTCACTGACCCCTCTTTTGAGTCCACTGCTGCGTCTGCTCTAGTCGCTGAGCTCGTTGACTTTGCTGCTCGCTGTCGTCTCGACTACGCTGCTAGTCTTGTTGCTGAGTCTGCGTCTGTCTGTCCTCCGTCCGTCGGGGGTGAGTGTGCTCTTGGCACGGACGTCCTAGAGGACAGGCAGGAGGAGTTACAGTGTCTAGCGGCTGCTTCACCTCATCTCGCGTCTGTACTGCTTGCCCCTGAGGGAGACCCGGATGCACTAGACATCCCGACTCCGCGTTCTTACGCGGAGGCCGTAGAGGGTCCCTACTCCTCTCAGTGGCAGGCAGCTATGGATGCAGAGATGGCTTCCTGGAAGTCCACAGGCACCTACGTTGACGCGGTTCCCCCTCCTGGGGCGAACATCGTCAGTGGCATGTGGATCTTCAGGGTGAAGCGGCCGCCGGGCTCTCCACCAGTCTTCAAGGCACGGTACGTTGCTCGTGGCTTCAGTCAGCGGCAGGGAGTTGACTACTTTCAGACCTTCTCTCCCACCCCGAAGATGACCACTCTTCGGGTGCTGCTGCACATAGCCGCTCAGCGCGACTACGAGCTTCACTCTCTCGACTTCAGCACTGCGTTCCTGCAGGGTAGCCTGCACGAGGAGATCTGGCTGCGCCGTCCACCTGGCTTCACTGGGACTTTCCCTCCTGGCACCCAGTGGAGCCTCCGACGGCCAGTCTACGGTCTCCGCCAGGCACCGCGTGAGTGGCACGACACACTGAGGACTACGCTTGCGGCTCTTGGGTTTGCTCCTTCTACTGCTGACCCGTCGCTGTTTCTGCGCACCGACACTTCACTGCCGCCGTTCTACATCCTCGTGTACGTCGACGACTTGGTCTTTGCCACAGCGGACACTGCTGGACTCGCCTACGTGAAGTCCGAACTGCTGAAGAGACACACGTGCACAGACCTGGGTGAACTGCGCAGCTACCTTGGCTTGCAGATCACTCGGGACAGAGCACGCCGCACCATTACCTTGACTCAGTCACACATGGTGCAGCAGGTCCTTCAGCGCTTTGGCTTCACGTACTCCTCGCCTCAGGCCACTCCTCTGCCTACTCGCCACTCACTCTCAGCTCTGCCTTCGGATGAGTCCGTAGAGTCGAGTGGTCCGTATGCAGAGCTTGTTGGCTGCCTCATGTACCTGATGACCTGCACACGACCTGACCTTGCATACCCTCTGAGCATTCTTGCACGCTATGTTGCTCCTGGGAGACACAGACCAGAGCACATGGCTGCAGCGAAGAGGGTATTGCGCTACCTGTGCAGTACGTCGGGCATGGGGCTAGTGCTTGGAGGGCGGAGTCCAGTGGTCCTTACCGGCCACGCGGACGCTTCTTGGGCTGACGACCAGGCTACGCAGCGGTCGTCACAGGGTTACACCTTCAGCCTTGGTTCCGGCTCTGTCTCGTGGCGGTCTACTCGCTCGTCTTCGGTTCTCGGCTCCAGTTGTGAGGCTGAGATCTACGCCGGGGCCATGGCTGCACAGGAGCTTCGCTGGCTCACCTACCTGCTGACTGACCTTGGAGAGCCACCTCGTTCTCCTCCAGTGCTGTACGTAGACAACAAGGCCATGCTGGCCTTGTGTCGAGAGCAGCGCTTGGAGCACAGAACGTAGCACATTGCTCTCCGCTACTTCCTTGCTCGTGAGCTGCAGCAGCGTGGTCAGTTGCGACTTGCGTACGTGGCCTCTGAGGCCAACACTGCTGATGTGTTCACCAAGGCACTCGCGCCTTGTGACCATCAGCGCTTTTGCACCCAGCTGGGTCTTGTGCCTGTCTTGCCTCACTTGCTCTCCTCTTGACTTCACTTGTACTGTGACATATATATGTACCTGCTCTTGCTTGTCTAGTTTTATATATATGTCTGTACTCCTGCATGTGAACTGGCCTCTGGCCCTGCTCTTGCGCTCGGACTGTGTGGTGACTTTGTGATCCACCCTGAGCTTGCTTTGCTTTGCTTGACTGGTCTTGTGACCCCTTGTTCTCCCCCACTTTGCCTATGGGGGTGTGTCAAACATTATATATGTTCTGCTTGTGTAGGCTACAGTGGGTTAGCCTATAGGGGGTACACAATTCTAGGGTTTCCTACTTGTACTCATTTCACTGCTAGTTCATTCATTCCTGTTCGCTTATTCTCACAGGGTCAGTCGCAACTGTCGCTGTACTGTTGGATGTGACCCTGGTTCGAGTTCTATCCTGTGGTCGTGCGGTCGCTGAGGTGGCAATCTCGTCGGTAGGTCGTTCGGGAAGATGTCACAGTACTGCTTCAACAGTGCTGCGAGATCACTCGGTACGTCGGCTAGCAGTTTCTTCAAATCCCCCCCTTTGTCTACTGCCTCGGCTTCCCGAATGTCAACCGCGTACACGTTAGCTCCTTCCGCTACGGCGCGTTTCATCGTGATCGCGTTGACACGTACCGACGAAGATTTAGGCGAGCCCCAGCGAGGTAAGGCGATGTTGTTACCGTTTACTCGCACAGTGCACTCACCCGTCGTCCAGTCGATTCGCGGATTGTGTCGTCGCAGCCAATCGCCCGAGTAAAATATCGGTACCGTCGAGGGTCGTTGCGAGCATTTCCCGGCTAAACCTGAAGTTGCCCCCGCATCGAATCCGAACTCGGTCCACGCGTTCCCGTATCGCAAGTGGCGTGCCGTCGACCATTCTTGCGTGGATCTCAGGTAAGCATCTGTCCAGTGGCAGTCGCACTTTTCGTGCTGTGGCAGTGTTGATAAGGCTGTGGCTGGCCCCTCCATCTAGGAAGATTTTAACTAAGTCCGTCCCGATTTTCCCACTAGGCAATATAGGGTTGTCTACCGTAGTACCCTCCTTATTCGGCCGGGTGTTGTCGATTGCGTGAACCGGCACAATCACTCGGTGAGGGTCAGTTGAGTCGGGCGAGCGGCGTAACCTGTTAGTAGAGGGCCCGTCTGCTACTGACTCCCAGCGTTTCCGTGCTGCTTGGTCTGTTTCTGCTGCTCAGCTTCGCCCTTTCCCTTAGCATTTTCCGGGCATTCGCTCTTGCGGTGTCCCGGCCGATTGCACGCAAAGCAACGCCCTTTGAACGCTGCGGCTGCGGCATTTGCGGCGACGGCACGTATCGTAGCGCCCTCGTTCATCCCATGAGGCCGATGTCCCCAATTGCTGCTTCCGTTGGACCCCGATCTCGTTCGGCGGAAGAAATCGAGTTTCTCCGCCATGGCGAGAATCTCCGGTGACGCCGCGAAGCTGGATTTCCTGAGCGATGTCCTGCTTCAGGCCGCCGATGTAGCGGTCGATGCGTTCGCTCTCGTGCATATAGCCCACTTGCTCGCATAGCGCCAGAAACCCGCTCGTGTAGTCTTGGACGGAACCGAGTTGGCGCCAAGTGCGGAGCCTTTGTCGCGCCGCGATCGATGCCGCAGTTGGCTCGAAACGAGCGCGCAGACCTGCGCACCACGCGTCCCACGTGCGATACTGGGGCACCTCCAGGAAATACGACGGCGCCCAGGGTCCGGTTTGTCCTTCCCGTGTCGGTAGAGTCGCGTAGTCCACCGGCTTCGTGACGATGACACGCCACCAGTCCATGGCGGGTCCTCGCAGCAGCGACACGGCGTAATGAATCTTCGCCGTATCCTCCGAGACGTAGTTCGCGTCGAAGAAAAAATTGAACGTGAAGAGCCACGCCTGAACGGTAGGACCACCCTGCTGACTTGGGTCAAAGCATGGCGGACGCTGCGGCTTCAGCGGCATCGGCGACGGTAGAGCTGATTCGCCGGCCGGCATCGAAACAGTGACTCGAGGCTGATTCCTGGCCGCATTCGTCGCATCGAGGTGTGT